CCTTCCATTTCTGGTCATGAACTCCATCATAGCATATTTCCCAGAGAACTTACTTTGCAAAAGCTATTAATAATTTGTTTATTAATTTATTATATCATCTCTGGCACTTGTTGTCTGGTTTACAAAGATGGTGACTTCTCCAGGCAAGAATTTTGAGCCCCTTGGATTTAATACTGAAGTCATTTTATCATTTGGCATCCATTTTCTTTAACTTTTTCTTAAAAGTTGTGAGTATAGTCATAAGTATTTCTGATCTTTAAAATAAATAAACATATAAATAGCTGGTGCCTCAAAGGTGTCTTCTTTGATTTTTGCACATTTGTCTTTAGCTCCTGCTATACCTTCATCCTTACTTTCTCAGCAGAACTCCCACAATGTGTTGATATCTCCAGGGATTCATCTTGTTTTCTCATTTTAAGCTCTCTCCCAGTGACTTTCATTTATACACATTTTTTAGCCAGTAACTTAGCCCCATTACCATCACATTCTGCTCCTGTCTTCCAGACCCTCCAGTTGCCTAGAGGAGAGACTACATTAAGATCCATTAGTGCCCCAGTTCTAGGATGCTTTAATTTGACATGCTTATTCTCCTCAAGTATTAGATTCCTTTTGGACTTGATGTCTTGAATAAAAGCATTGCCTTTTATCATACCGTGGAAGTAATTCTTAATCTTCAGTTTACCCAAACCTCTCTATCTGCCATGCTAACAATTTTACCTCCTAATATCACTATTAATTATATGCCTCTCTTTATCTTGTTGACCATGGTACAGACCATTTCATTCTCCTCTGAAATACTACCATTGCTTCTTCATTGATATTTCTGCTTCTCTTCTCATCCATCTCAAATTTACCTCCAGCTGGAACCCTTTAAGGGACTCTGCACTGCTCCTATGAGAATATTAACCTGCAGCTTCACCTGCCTTCCTAATGCCGTCTCTTTATTCCTCACTCATCCATCAGCCACACTGACCCTCCTACTGCTCTTGTTACTTTTTTATTGATTTTATTTTTTAAATATATGAAAGGGGAATGCATTACAATTCTTATTACGCATATAGAGCACAATATTTCATATCTCTGTATATAAAGTGTGTTCACACCAATTCATGTCTTCATACATGTACTTTGGATAATAATGTCCATCACATTCCACCATCATTGCTAACCCCCTGCCTCCTCCCTTCCCCTCCACTCCTCTGCCCTATCTAGAGTTTGTCTATTCCTCCCTTGTTCCCTCTCCCTACCCCACTATGAGTTAGTCATCTTATATCAGAGAAAACATTTGGCATTTGTTTTTGGGGGGTATTGGCTAACTTCACTTAGCATTTTCTTCTTCAACTCCATCCATTTACCTACAAATCCCATGATTTTGTTCTCTTTTATTGCTGAGTAATATTCAGTGTATATATGCCACATTTTTTTAATCCATTCAACTACTGAAGGGCATCTAAGTTGGTTCCACAGTTTAGCTATTGTGAATTGTGCTGCAATAAACATCAATGTGACTGTGTACCTGTAGTATGCTGTTTTTAAGTCCTTTGGGTATAGTCGGAGGAGAGGGATAGCTGGGTCAAATGGTGATTCCATTTCCAGTTTTCCAAAGAATCTCCATACTGCTTTCCATATTGGCTGCACCAATTTGCAGTCCCACCAGCAGTATATGATGTGCCTTTTCCCCCACATTCTCACCAACACTTATTGTAGTTTGTCTTCATAATAGCTGCCATTCTGACTAGAGTGAGATGATATTGTTATTTTAAGCCACTCAGGGTTTTTTGCCTTTTGTCACTTCCAATTCTCTTCCTCTATCCCTATTCTCCAGTAGGCTAAGATGATTCATCCTCTAAGTCTCCGCTGCTTTCTTCCAGGAAACAGTTCATGAAGCCCTTCTGAGATGAGGCATTTTGCCCTCACTTCTGTATTACCTCTTAGAAATTTCTGTCAAGGCTTTTTGCTTTGTTTGTGAATGGTATTTTCTCTCTTGCCTACCAATTGTGAGACTAGGCATTTTTATTCGAGTTTGTTTTATGTTTGTACTTCCAGACAAATACCAAAGGATCTCTCCTATTTATAGAATCTAAGAAAGTCGAACTTTAAAAAGTAGAGAATAGAATGGCAGTTTTTTAGAG